AACCTAAATAGAAGCTGCAAAAAGAAAAGTGAAGGAACAGTCAAAAATTTGAAGTGCTCCTTATTAAACCTCTGGCCATTCCTTAAATAAACATCTGATATTTTAAAAGTAAAAAGTATATGATTTAAATATTTTATCATTTTTCAAGTTAAGCATTATTATTCCAACTACTAAATCCTAAAAAGGGTAAAATATTCCAAGTAGAATGAAACACAATGAATGAATATGAAAGAATATGAGCATAAATAACTAACATCCTTTACATATCATCAAGCTTTCAGAGACACTAAAAATGTATTTTTGCTTCATCTAATGATGATGTGAAGTAAAATGTTTGCAAACAGGAAGCTTATTTCTTCTAATCCATAGCCTACAGGACTTCCTAATTATTCCTCATAGCAACACTGTAATCTAACACTTTCAGAAGGGCTGTGATTTTTCTGACATAGATAGAGGTCTTCTAGTGCAGACAAGCTGTGAAAAATTGGGTAGGAGAGAAGGAGAAAGGTGCCGTTTACACATTTATCTGCTCGGCTCACACCTTCGATAGAATAGCACCAGCCAGTTAAACATTCGGTACTGCAATAATTTTGTCTCCATGCTTTTGACAATTTGTTTCACGCCTCATTTGCTATGAAGAGTTAAAACATTTTAGTCAATCTTGAGAAAGCAATTCGATTTTTTTTCCACACCAAAATGCACAATCCATTTCAACTACCAGGCCACAGGTTAAAGTTCAAACTGCAACACAGAGAGAAATCAAGGACTTTCCTTCAAACATCGTGGAAGAAAAAAAAAAACACTAAACTTACATTTATTTTCAGTGGATATAAAACAAAATGAAATAAAACAGCCTTCCACATGTTTGGTTCCAAACAGCCTTTTCTCTACTATTAAAACAAAGCAAAAACCAGACCCCTCCCTGCTCTTACCATCCTTAGACAACACGGCAGAGCCTGAATAGATGCTTCAAGCAGAGGTAGAAATCTTTCCTTATTTATAATGTTGTTTTATTATTTTTTGGTATTACTATTATTTGGTTTTTCATTATTTTTAAAGTTTAGATCACTGCAATACATTTGTACTATCAAAGATAGTTTCAAAAACAATGATTAGCCCAGGCGCGGTGGCTCACGTCTGTAATCCCAGCACTTTGGGAGGCCGAGGCGGGTGGATCACGAGGTCAGGAGTTCCAGACCAGCCTGGTGAAGATGGTGAAACCCCGTCCCTACTAAAAATACAAAAAAATTAGCCGGACATGGTGGCGGGTGCCTATAATCCCAGCTACTCAGGAGGCTGAGGCAGAGAATTGCTTGAACCCGGGAGGCACTGGTTGCAGCGAGCTGAGATTGAGCCACTGCACTCCAGCCTGGGCGACTCAAAAAAAAAAAAAAAAGATTATTCAAGATCCTACCCTACTGATAGCCATCCAAAATTCAAGTAGTTCACATTCTGCACTTGCTAAGAGTCAGGCACAGTACTAGTAGGTTTAAATTGTTAGAAATACTATAAGATGCAACTCAAGAGTCTCTAGAACACTGTCCCAGAAAGCTTTCTACAGTAATGAGAATGTTCTAGATCTATTGTGCAACTTACGACAGAGAGCTACTGACAACAGATTGCACTGCTAAGCACATACAATGTGGCTAATGCCACTGCAGACATTAATTTTATTTAATTAATTTTTTGTATTAAGAGACAGGGTCTTTATCTCCCAGGCCAGAGTGCAGTGGCTCACTGCAACCTTGAACTCCAAGCTCAGGTGATCCTCTACCTCAGCCTCCCAGATAGCTGTGACTACAGGCACACACCACTATGCCTGGCTAATTTTTTAATTTTTTGTAGAGACGGGATCTTGCCATGTTGCCTAAGCTGGTCTCAAACTCCTGGGCACAAGTGATGCTCCCGCCTCAGCCTCCCAAAATGCTGAGATTATAGGTATGAGCCACTATGCCCAGCCTAATTTTAATTTATTTTTATTTCCTTTTTTTTTTTTTTTTTGAGATGCAGTGTTGCTCTGTCACCCAGGTTAAAGTGCAGTGGTGTAATCTCAGGTCACTGCAAACTTCACCTCCCGGGTTCAAGAGATTCTCCTGATTCAACCTCCCGAATAGCTGGGATTACAGGTGCCTGCCACCAAGCCCGGCGAATTTTTGCATTTTTAGTAGAGATGAGGTTTTACCATGTTGGCCAGGCTGGTCTTGAACTCCTGACCTTAGGTGATCCACCAGCTTCGGCCTCCCAAAGTGTGGGATTACAGGGGTGACCCACCACGCTCAGCCTAATTTTAATTAATTTTAATTTAAACAGCCACTAATGGCTGCCATACTGGACAGAGCCATTTCAGCGTATACTTTTAATGCTGAAAAGGTTTTTTGTTGGAAAAAGGTTCTTCAGACCCAGGAAATGCATCCTGATTCTGAGTTTTCTCTTTAGGAAGGGGGAAATGTAATGAAAACTAACCAAGTACAAAGATCCCCCTTCACATTCTCATCAAAAGAAGAAATATGTTTCAGTTCAAATCTGCTTTGTAACTGGTGAGACAGGAGGGACATTTATAATAAAAGTGCTTGCCATGGCAGGGGTAGGGGTGGGGGTTCCCAGTGGGCACCTTAGAGCCGTGTCACCTAGGACCCCGAAAACAAGAAAACAACTCTTGTTTCACCTGCTGGCTAGGAGTCTTATTACTGTGCAACTTCTTCAATGATTCCATTTCACAGGTCTCCCTAACCAAATGGTATCCTCTTGGTGAGAAAGGAAGATCTTTCTTCATCAACTTTTCCAGTATCTTCAGAGAATATCAAATGATTTGAGGCCAGGTGTGGTGGCTCATGCCTGTAATCTTCACACTTTGGGAGGCTGAGACGGGCAATCACTTGAAGTCAGGAGTTTGAGACCAGCCTTGCCAACATGTGAAACCCCATCTGTACTAAAAATACAAATATTACCCAGGCATGGTAGTGCACATCTGTAGTCCCTGCTACAAGGGAGGCTGAGGCAGCAGAATCGCTTAAACCTGGGAGGCAGAGGTTGCAGTGAGGAGATCGTGCCACTGCACCCCAGCCTGTGCAACAGAGCAAGACTCCATGTCAAAAAAAAAAAAAAATATATATATATATATATATATATGAATGCAAGTAAGCAATAAAAAAATTCTATTATAACAACACCTTTCACAATGGAAATTCAGACCACTTGTCCAATTCTACTCATTCCAGTCCCTCCTGAGAGACAATACAGCATATATTAATAAGCAATGGAGTCGGAATGCCTGGGTGCAAACTGCACCTATGCCACTCGCTAGATGTGTGCCTAAAATGAGTACAGCAGTAGAACCTACCTCATAGAAAATGCATATCGAGTTCTTAGCACAACGCTTGGCACCTAGAAATTGTCTGATAAATTATTTTATATTATTAATTATTCAATACTTAACATTTCACTACAACAGCAAAACAACTGATTTCCCTTTGAGGTTCCACATATCATGAGGGAATCTGACCTACAGTCTGTAATACTTGAGACGGGACATGTAGACTAGTTGGAATTTTTTTTTTTTTTTTTGAGGCGGAGTCTCGCTCTGTGGCCCAGGCTGGAGTGCAGTGGGGTGATCTCCACTCACTGCAAGCTCTGCCTCCCAGGTTCCCGCCATTCTCCTGCCTCAGCCTCCCGTGTAGTTGGGACTACAGGTGTCCACCACCGCGCCCAGCTAATTTTTGTATTTTTAGTAGAGACGAGGTTTCACCGTGTTAGCCAGGATGGTCTCGATCTCCTGACCTCGTGATCCACCCGTCTCGGCCTCCCAAAGTGCTGGGATTACAGGTATGAGCCACCGCGCCCGGCCGACAAGTTGAAATTTAAAGAGTGGTTTTGTTATAAATATGTGGTAGGAAATACATACCTGTGCAACATGAGTCATTTTAACATCAGAGAATAACCTATACACACAGACAGAAAACTGTTTCAGATCTGCCAAGTATTTTAGTGTCCAATCCTGAACGACAGCTCTCAAACACAAGCTTTCAGAGGCGGTAAAGAGAAAATGTACAACAACATTTACTCATGCTGACCATGCTTTAACCCAAGATTTTTGCCACACAAGTGGCAATCACCAAAACTAACTCCCCAAATGCAATAATCTCTATGAAGTTTCTCCAGACACTCAGAGATGTCTCCACCAAGCCAGCTGACTCACCACATCAAGGTGACAATCTAGTTTACCGAAGAGATCAAAGGTACCCAAAATATACTGGTAGTTCAATATATTACAAAACTAATCTTCAGGAAATATCTGTAAATAGTCTTCCCCTCAACCTACAAATCTAGCGAAATATTCTCCACCCTCAACAAGGTGTGAGGGCTGCACAGGCTTTGGAGTTCATCTGCCTCAGGGCTGACTCCTGGTACCATCATTTATGGCCTTGGCCAAAGCACATGCACCCCTCTTTGTACTTTACCTTAGAATCTATAAAATGCAGAAGGCAAAGCCTGTCACCTAGGAGTCCTAAGGGAACTCTATCACCAGCATACTCTGAGCCCCACCGCATGCCAGACACGACCCCAGGCACTGGGTCACAAAGAGTCAGGCGTGCTCCCACCTTCCCGAGCAGCTCCAGACCCACCGGAGAGGAGGAAGGGTGGGTGGACACGCAGGGGCCCCCGGCAGGGAGCGACCAGCACAGGGCCCGGCAGAGAAAGCAGAGCAGCAAGCGCAGGCGCTCCACCCTCTTCCAGCGAAAGAAGAACACACCAAACACCCCGCTCCTCTTCCAGCTGTCCAGAGCCTTTTTCTGGCTTCCTATCCATCTCTCGCTCCACCTACTGCAACCTGCCGCCTTCCTGACCACTCTTCTGAAGATCACCGGTGACGAAATGACCACAATGCCCGCCCCCAGGCTTACTGGGCATTCCTCAGTGCTCACCTCAGCTGTGCATGTTTTGCTGCCAGAAACGGCCTTCCCGTGCCACCCGTGGAACTCTCCCCAGCTTTTCCATCGCCCTTTCTGGCTCTCTGGGTGGCCCCTCTTCACCCCTAAAGGTTGGTGCTCCCTAGAACACCCCGGCACCTCTCTCCTTACCAGGCACACACTCCGCGGGGCAGTGTCATTGGCCTCTCAGCTGGCACCTCAGGCTGCGGCCCTTGTCCCCTCCTCAACTGCACATCCCTCTTTTCCTTCTGCTCCAGCATCTCCATCGAGCTGTCTGGAACCCATCTCAACCCAACATGTCCAAAACCACAGCCTGGCACCAAGTACATGAGATGATTCAAAAGCAGGAACACCTTCAAAAAATCCAGCACTGTATGATTCCTTCCCATGGAGTCAGGTCAAGAACCTTGCGCTTGTACCCCCTCTTTTGTCCAGCCTTGAGGAAATAAAGGTGGCATCGGGGCTGCCACTGGTCATTTCAACCGCGGGCAATGGAAATGCTACATTTAACAACTGTCCTGCGGGACAAGAGGCTCAGGCTGGGCATCTGAAAGACCAGAGAAATAGCTGCGATGATTCCTCTCCAAACTGATTTCACTGCATATTCATCCCCAGCTCCTTCAAACCCAATATTTAAAAATGTTCCATTATTTTGAATTCCCTTGTACTGCTGTTCATCCCTATAATAAACGGCAGCACCCCCATGTGGATGGTTGGTCTGCTGTCTCTGGGATTAAACTTCACTGGAAGGTAAGCCTTATGAAAGCAGGGACTAGGTTTTGTCACTGTGGTATCCCCAGCCCCTAGAACACTGCCACAAGGCAGGCACTGAATAGATACCAACATCTGAGTAAACAGCAGCAGCTATTTGAAGAACGAGGGAAGTATATATACAATGGGGCATGGTATCTGGCAACTGCTGGCAATCAACTCAGGCCTCCCAACCACCCCAAATCTGACTCCCCACTCTCCTTTCCCAGGGTCTTGGGGTATGGAAGGCATCCCTCCAAATGCCTCTTCTACCAGGTTGGTGTCTGAGGCTCTCAAAGACCTCAAAGCGCATGAGGCTGGGCCTGCTCCTCACTGACCCTGCCGGCTCGGAGGCCCCAGGCTCTGGCTTCTGCTCCTACTCCCACCCCAGGGCTTAGCAGAGCCCACCATTTCACCACTTGTCTGCTTCCGCAAGCCCCGCACGCTAGCCTGCGCCCACAGCTGCATGACGAACTTCTCCACTTTGTCCTTGTAAAATGGCAAAAAGGGTAACTATCCTCTATGCCTGGAAAAGGAGGAAATGGCTTGATTCTTCTCCAACAGAGAGAAGCTCATGAGCATTCTGACAGTTATTTTCTTAGGGCTTTCTCAGCTGCTTCAGAATGTTCTCATTGCTGAAATCTAACCACTAGATGAATGATACATTACTACTGAAATTCCCCGAAAGAAATAACACAAGTAGACAGGTGTTAGCTTTCTAGGCAAAAGATACCTTCCATCACAATGATCGACATTTAAATGTGGCTGCTAAGACACTGAGATTGCCCAGTCCCTTAATTTAAAAAATAAATAAATAAATAAAGGTCCAGTCTTAAGAGACACACAGCAAAAGTCTAAAAAGCAGGTTACAGATTTTGTTGTTTTTTCTTCCTGTGGGCTCTTAAAATAAACTGCCCGCTCATTTGCTTGAGATGGGTGGGGCACAGTCAGCTTTAACCTGAAAAACTGGAAATCCATGATTACTCTGATAGTGATATGTTACCATAAACAAGAAAGCAAGATAAAATATTATAAAATAGGAAACAAGAGACAGCAAAGACTTCATTGAATTCTAAGCTAAAAACGGAATTACAGGGGTATGCCATTTGGAAATAGTCTCGGCCTCAAATTAGAGAGAAAGCAGATGAGCGCACACGCTGAAAACCCAGAAAACAGGCATGAGCAAAGCAGTGCCGAGCTTTCCCACCGCAAACAGGCATGAGCAGAGCAGTGCCGAGCTTTCCCACCGCGCAGGAACTGCGGCAGGACTGCTTACGCGAAATTTAACTTAACACCCCTTGTCTAAGACAAGGTTATGAGCTAAACTGAATTTTTTTAAAAGCCGTGAGATGTAGTTTTATTGGCAATTAGAAGAGAGGAATAGTTGGGGACATAAAGAGAAACTTTTCCCAGTACTGTACTTTACCCATAAGGCATCATAATAATGAAGAGAAGGAAGGGCGCAGAGGGGTCTCGGGAACCCTCCCACACCTGAGGAGGCCTGGGCAGCCTGGGGAGGGCGGGAAAGAAGTCGTCCGCTGAGTGCTTTCCACAACCTCCTGACACCACTGAATCTGGCTCCAAAATGACCGTGTGGCAACAAAGACAGAAATAATCAAGACATACATGAAATAACCTCACTGAATGGCAACAAAGACAGAAATAATCAAGACATACATGAAATAACCTCACTGAAGAACTGGAGGAGTTTTCTGCCTTACATCTGTTCTTTTAACTATGCATTACCGTCTTGATGATTTTTAGATATGCTAATTTTGGTGTTTGGTTGACAACTTTTAACACCATAGTAGTTCAATCTGGGTACATAATGAATATTATATTTTGTTGGTTGCTTACTCTAAAATTATCTCTCATCCGGCTGCCTGGATTTCCCCTTCTCTCCCACCTTCCGGTCTCCCTTCCCTTATTCTCTCTTCCCACCTCCTTGGACTCATGGATTTCTGGACTCGTAAACCCCAGCGAATCTGAGACACCGTCCAGTCTGTGTACCAATTCTCTTTCATCCAACACAAATGACCTAGCACCCACTGTGTGCTGTCTTACTCCTTTCCAGGCCCTGCAGCAGCCTCCGCCTCCTGAACCAGCCAAGCCAGGGGGAAGAGAATCCAGGCTTTCCTCTAAACGCCTGCTGACTAGGTCACGGCTGCTGACTACTTCACGGCCGCCCCAGGTAACGATGCAATGACCCAGACGTGGTAGGGAGCAATGACCCAGATGATGGTAGGGAGTTTCTCTGAAGAGCAAATGTAAATTAATGTCTGGTGATGTGATCAGAAAAACCCAATGCCATCCTCCAGCCCTTGTAGCCCAAATTCTTGCCTCTTCTATGTCTGATAATGACTACAGAGCCAAAATACACTAAAAGCTCCTGAACTGTAAGAATGTGGGCCAGGTGCAGTAATGCTCACGCCAGTAATCCCAGCACTTTGGGAGGCCAAGGCAAGTGGATCACTTGAGCTCAGGAATTCAAGACCAGCCTGGGCAACATGGCAAAACCCCCATCTCTACAAAAAAAATAACATAAATTACCCAGGTTTGATGGTGAGTGCCTTAACTCCAGCTATTCGGGAGGCTGAAGTGGGAATCACTTGAGCCCAGGAGAGAGAGGTTGCAATCAGTGAACCAAGATGGCACCACTGCACTCCAGCCTGGGTGACAATGTGAAACTGTCTCCAAAAAAAAAAAAAAAAAAAAGAATGTGCCAGGCTCCATGGTTCATATGAACGACTACACCCAGACTCCCAGGCCTCCCAGGTCAAGGCAGGAGGATCGCTTGAGCCCAAAAGTTAGAGACCAGCCTGGGCAACATATCAAGACTCCATCTCTACAAAGAATTTAAAAATTAGCTGGGCATTGTAGCATGCACCTGTGGTCCCAGCTACTCGGGAGGCTGCAGTGGGAGGACTGCTTGGGCCCAGGAGTTCAAGGCTGCAGTGAGCTGTGATCATGCCACAGCACTCTAGGCTGAGCGACAGAGCAAGACTCTGTCTCAAAAAAAAATAAATAAATAAATAAAACAACTGTACATGTCTTCACAATAACAAAAAAAGAAGTCTTTTTTTTTTTTTTTTTTTTTTTTTTTTAATGTTACCACTAGCTCTTCAGTGACCCCTGTGAGAGGCAAAAAGGTGGCCTTCCAGGCCATTCCACAGCCTGGGTGATTCTGAAGCACAACTGGGTTTGAAAACCACTAGGTTAGTGGAAAGAATGTAGGCTTTAGCACCAGACAAACCAGGGTATTGAACAAATTTCTAAATTGTACCAGTTTACCTGTCTATAAAATAGAGATAATGATAATGTCTTTGCAAGACTGTTGAAAGGACTGCAGATAATAAGTGCAATGTGCCTGGCACACATAGTAGGAGTCCATTAATGGTAGTCATTATTACTATTACTACTGCTTTTTGTTATAGCACTATTATTTATGGCTCTTCTAAGTCTTTCTCTAAACCTACATTTCTTTATTTGAGAGGCAAGAATGAGAAGCAGCATATCTGTAAGAGTTTTGCCAATCACTCCTGACTAGAACGACAGGCTGATTTCATGTTTCCCCAAGTATCAGTCCTATGCAGACCACCATTTTGAAAAAATCTTGCAAGGCCTGGCCCAGTGGTTCAACACCTATAATCCTAGCTCTTTGGGAAGCAGAGGCAGGAGACTTGCTTGAGGCCAGGAGTCCAAGACCAGCCTGGGCAATAGAGTGAGACTCCATCTCTACAAAAAATTTAAAAAGTAAGCAGGGCACTTTGGGAGGCCGAGACGGGTGGATCACGAGGTCAGGAGATCGAGACCATCCTGGCTAACACGGTGAAACTCCGTCTCTACTAAAAAATACAAAAAACTAGCCAGGCGATGTGGCGGACGCCTGTAGTCCCAGCTATTCGGGAGGCGGAGGCAGGAGAATGGCGTGAACCCGGGAGGCGGAGCTTGCGTGAGCTGAGATCCGGCCACTGCACTCCAGCCTGAGCGACAGAGCGAGACTCCGTCTCAAAAAAAAAAAAAAAAAAAAAAAAAAAAAGTAAGCAGGCGTGGTGGCATGAGCCTATAGTCCCAGATACTCACGAGGCTGAGCTGGTAGGATTGTTCAAGTCCAGGAAGTCGAGCCATGACCGCACCACTGCCCACTAGCCTGGGCAACAGAAAAAGACCCTGTCTCAAAGAAAAAAAAAATCCCACAATGCTCAGCTGCTGACTTACGGCCACCCTGGCATTTCTACTGCCTCCTCTGCACCCAGCTGGCTGCTCTCCTTCACTGTGTGCACCAGGAGGACCACTCTGCACTTGGCCACCCTGACCTTAATGACACGACTGCCTTGCTACTTCTCCAATCGCAGAATTCCCTTTTGCCTTCTCAGGTGCCAGCCATGCCTCATGCCCTCACCCCAGTATTAATCTGATATTAGGGCTGTGCTGGCTGCTGCGTCTTCCCAGGTAGGCATGAAGATGCTGTCATCACTGGATTAGCGCTCCTTATGCCTGCCATAGGAACCGCAGTCCATGAAAGCCCACCCATTCTACAAGATTGTGATAAGATACTTTCCCCAGTTTTTTTTTCATTGTCCTCATATGCAAAAGAAACAAGTCATCCTAGGGTCAAAGGATAATTCTGCTTCCCCTATAGTCTACTATATCCATTAAGCAGATTCCCTACACAGACATCCTAAGGACTAAACCTATTTTACACCCATAGAAAGAGCCAGGTATCTATGACAGCTCCCACAGTGCCTGTAACGGATGCTCTGACCCACGGTATTTCATAAACCCTAATGTACACAGGAAAAGCTCAGCTTTGAAAGCTATACAAAAGCACTCATAAATTTCAGACTGCCCTAAGCACCCCTCCTTTTGCTAAGACACTAGCTGGAGTACCACTTCAGACCTATTATTCTTATGACGACAACTTTCCTTGTGCATCTCGTCCTATCAGCCTACTCAAGCACCATGACTATTATTTATACTGAATTTTACATTAACTGCAAGTATGTTTATTAACAAAGCAAAGATAAATGTTCTTTAAAACTAGTTTTGTCTAATAAAGATCCAAAAATGCGCTATTAATTACTTGTATTCATCATTACACTATGATGTGTCTCACTGTGTTGCCCAGGCTGGTCTTGGACTCTGGCCTCAAGCAATTCTCCTGCCTCAGCTTCCCAAAGAGCTAGGATTATAGGTGTTGAACCAGTGGGCCCAGCCTTGCAAGATTTTTTCAAAACGGTGGCCTGCATAGGACTGGTACTTGGGGAAACATGAAATCAGCCTGTCGTTCTAGTCAGGAGTGATTGGCAAAACTCTTACAGATATGCTGCTTCTCATTCTTGCCTCTCAAATAAAGAAATGTAGGTTTAGAGAAAGACTTAGAAGAGCCAGAAATAACAGTGCTATAATAAAAATACTCAGCTATTACAAAGCTAAGAACTCTCGTATGTGTAAAGCTTAGAGCTTCAATTCATAGATACTTAGAGTATCAATTCATTTCAAAATTCCACATACAGGCCATACATTCATCTCTCCATTTTTAAAGGATTTCTGCTTTTGAAAGACCCATCGAAATTGTCCACCATGTCGAAAGTATTTAATTCCTAGCATTAGAAAATAAACAAAAATTCAAAGATTTCAAAAATATAGTTTGGAAAGGAAGAGAGAGAGGAGAGTCAAAATGAATTAGCAATGCCCATAATAATGTCCTTTTTTAAAAGGACACGGTTCCAGAATTCCTACATTTATCTCTCTATCTCCATCTGTCAGTTGCTCTTCGGATCCCGCACATCAGCACATTATGCACGGACGGTGGGTATTTTCACCCTGGACCAGGTAGAAAGCTTGCCTGCCTGTACACGCTGACTGCCTCCCTGTGTTATCTGTCCGCGTTCCGTTTGAATCCAATTTCCTTGCATTACCTCTGCCCAGGTCAGGGATGAATGGCCGTCAAATTCCCAGTGGAATAAAAAGAAAAACCCTTTTCTTCCTGAGGCAGCAAGTTTCAATTCACAGAGCACATGGCTAATCTACATATGTGAAGGTCACGGCACTTCAGTCAAAGAGGTTAAGAATGGAACAGCTCACGTAAGGGGTTGTCTTAAACATCTTGGCATGATGCCCAACAAGTAAGACTGTTGAAAAGCAATAGATAGCTTCTGGCAGCAGCAAGGGGAAAAATATTTTGATCATGTGACGCCATACACATTACCTCGTTTATTTCATGTGTGAAAGTTTGAGAGTCCCTGAAAAATACCACATATGCAAATCAAATCCAGATTTCAGCTTTACCAGTTTAGCCACGCTAGTACACCTTCCTCTTCATAAAATACATTTATATGGAATTTCTGGATGCACCAAGAATAAAACTTCAACATATTGACAGCCAGTTGGCTCAAATATCTTAACAGCTGATTACAACTTCTTTGCATTAGTTTTCCCATGAAGCATGAAACTACTTAGACCGGGAAAGGGTATTTAAACTAAAAAAGCATATTCTTTTAAGTTATCCAAATATAACTGTTTTAAATAAAATTCATCTTCTCCATCTCTATTCTTCTCTCCTCGCTAATAATATAGCAATATGGAAAATTACAGAAATTTTGTGCACAATGAAAGATAAAACACAAAACTGCTTTCTTTTCAATTTCCCTCTTCAGTAATGAATTGTAGAGTAAAACATTGGTGCTTCTAAGTGCTTGTAGCTCTGACCAATATCAGAGTGGAGGAGGAAGGACAGAGTCTTACCATATACAACAGACATGGGTGAAAGAGGAAAAGTCAGGATGGCAGAGGGCATGTCTCTGCCTCCTGTACGCATGGCGACTTCCTGAAATGCGTTCTGCATCAGCCAATTCAGGTTAAAGGGAGTTGGCACTAAGATGGGGCGGGGGGGGGGGGGGGAAGGGATGATTTCCACACCCAGCAAAGTCATAACAAGTATGACTGTAATTTTTAAAACTTTCCAACAGTCAACAACAATAAATACTTGTTTAATACACAAAGAAAATAAAGCAGAAGCAAAAGATCCATTTTACCAATTTAGAAATTGTCTGCCAACCACCCATTTCCTTCAACTCAAAATTCAGATTCCTTATGAGGCCAGAGTTATTAAGTCTATATTTCTAATTAAATGGAATACTAAGTAAAATTTAAACACCCCACAAACTATCTTAATTAATTTAATCACCACTACTTACTCAGTAATCTAAGGATATCACTCTATGCTCAACAATTAATATAATGTTTAACAATTTACAAATATTTTCTGGATATCTACTTCTGTGATAGTGCCCCTACACCAACATCACTAAATGTTTATTGATGGTAGGAAAATTAAATTCTTCAATTATAAATCTTTTGAATTTATTTCCTCACCAGTTAAAAATATGACTGTTTAAAAAAAAAACAGGAAAACTACAGCAAACATTTTAGAATTGCTCAATAACTTACTTTTCCTAAACACTGGACAAGGTAAAAACATATCAGGAAATTTGAAAACTGCCATGGTATGGATTAGAACTAAGCTTCAAATATAAACCTATTAGCTCTGAAAGACTGATAGGCTGCTAAGTAACTTGTTAAATTAACTAATAGAGAATCACCTCTAACTCATTTTAATTCCCTATTCATGAGAAAATACAATCCTTGTTACTCTATTAAAATGTCCTTTTCATTGCCAAGCAGCATACAAGTTTCTTACAAAGTTTAGTCCTCACGAAAATTCCATGAGTTAAGCATTCTTTCCCATTCTTTGACAAATGAGGAAACCACCCAGCACAGAGAAGCGAAGTGTCTTGCCTGAGGTCACACAGCTAGTAAATGTCTAATCTTCCAGTGCTCTCTAACCTGCTAGCTTTTGGCTCTA